TTGGTATACCTTGTAAATGAATTATCTTTTAAACTTTCGGTTCACATTATTTTGTACGAGGATCAAGATGATATAAGATAGAGTGCTCTATGTAATATATTTTTTTCAACATTTCCAATTGCTTATTTTGCTTATTCTCTCCTCCTAATGTTGAAAAAATTGTTTCATCAAAATGATAGCCAATAAATCAAACTCGTAAAAATATCTTTTGTTCATGGTTCAAGATATTGAATTATCGATGTGGATTCAAATCCAACATATATTCCCAATCTCCTTTAAATGCCCATTTTATTTCGTTATGGAGGAGCACTACGGATATATAGTACAATGTTAAAAATTCTTAAATAAGAAATATTTGGCTTATGACCATAAACCAATTAAAATAAATAGGGAGTTTTTTTTTTTTTAATAAATAATGGTTTAACTATCGATTGAAACCTTTTGATAAATACTTATGCTAAATCTTTTTGAGTATAAACATAAGCAACGAGTCGTTTAATTTTTATTTTAATAGCCAATCAATAATAATTTAATGCTTAAGAAATAAATTCACCAAGCATTATCAAGTTGACTTGTTTTAATGGCATCGTCCGAAAATTATGCTTGACATCAAATTATTTGCTAGCAATCTCAAAAATGTTAGGTTTTGAGTAGATAATAAGAATATATGTGACCTTCTTATTGATGCATTTATTAAAATCATAAAATATGTAAATGGTCCATATGATGGATGAATTAATCCACATATATTACCTTGAATACATTCTAAAAATACTAGAGATTCAATCTCAATTTTATTTGGTGATGGCTTAATCATCAATTTGCCTTGCCAACATGCAAAACATGAAAATTCATCAAATCGAAGATCTTCCGGCTTTTCAATAGATGTTCATATGATTTTTTAATAATTTTTTTATATCATAAAAGACATAGGATAACATAACCGGTCATGCCACATAATAAAAGTATTTGAATTAATAAACTTCTAGTTTACTATACCATTTATTTTAATCATTTAAATATTTGTAATAAAGCCCAAAAGAGAAAGCGGTTAAATTTTTCAATACACATTTTCTACATGATATAATAATTATAATATATATGTATTCAATATTTTTCACATTTGTTGTAAAGCCTTTAAAAGTTATCTCTTCAAGTAATAATATATTCACTCTTTTAGAGCTTCAAAAATTTGTCTATTCGAGTCATGATATAATCACTTTTTTAAAGCCTTCAAAATTCATCTCTTTAGGTAATAATATAGTCGCTCTTCCGAAGCTTTCTATTAGATTGATATTATCATATATAATACTAATATAAAATAAATAAATAAATACGAAATAAATAAATTCTTCATAAACATAAATAAATAAATAATAAAATAAATTTATAATTATCTTTATGCAATAAAAATTATAAAAAATATAAAACATCTTATTTATAAATAGAAAAGCTAACAAATTATTAATTTCAATTACCTCTATTTTGATATATAAAATTAGCCTCTATATTTTACATTCTTTTTTCAACGAGGTTTGACAAGGCTTAATGAGATGCTTTGTTGTATGACTGGTATATGACCAATGCCATTCATACCATATCTATAACATTCATTTTCGAATGCCGACTTTATCTATTTTCAATCTTTTTTTCATAGTTATCCACTTCGGTGGTGAGATGTATATGGTCATCATGATTATAATGATAATTATTTCGACCACATCCATAGCTATAACCACATCTTTGTCTATGTCTAAAATTATTATAAATTGTCATATTCACTTCGTGGAATGGAGTAGATCCAATTAGACGAGATTTATTCTTTTTCATCAATAGATTATCATTTTATTTAGCCACGAGTAAATATGAACTCGATTTAGAATATTTCTTAAACTCATTTTCTCAATATACTATTGCAGGAACATATTCGAGACATGAAAAGTAGAGAATATTTACTCAAGCATCAAGCACTCATGATTAATAATTGTTGCCCAAAATGTCAAAGTCCAAAACATATAGTTTTGTGACGTTTGATATTATAAAAATTCTATAATGCAAAGTATAATAATAATATTAAGCAATAAAAATAAAATATAATGATAAAATTTAAATAAAAATAAACATAAAATTTAAATATTTCAAACAATATATATTAGATTATTAGATTCTATATATTAAATCATTTAAGTTTTTAAAATGTATATTCTATATATCATTAGATTTAAAGTGCATGATAAATTAGATACATACCTCTTGATGATCTAGATAATTTAGATCTTTTGTAGAGCACTTGTGTAAAAAAAAATCTAATGATTGAAACAAATGATTAAGTCTTTTGGTAGATACATACCTCATGATCTATTATTACGATTGGTTAAAGCTTCGTGCTAATAACGTATTATAAAAGAATTGGTGACAATGATAGAATTGGAGGGAAAAATGATGAAGAAATAATTTCACTATGAAATAAAGAGAATAGAAAAGATAACAACTCTAAACAATTTTCTTAATCTCTACAAAATACTTGTATATAAACCGATGAACAATCAAGTCTATTTATAGGCTTCAAGATTAGGAAGAAAATTTGAAAGGATTATGAACTATTAAAATATGCATAAATAATTGAATAGATTGCATCATCTTTTCAATTTCTCATATTGAATTGTGAATTGAATCATATGAATAGTGAGAAATATGAAATGAACATTCATTATTTCATAACAATTATAAACAATTTTGATTCAAAGTTGTGGTTTAAACTATTTTTCTTTTTTAGTTTACCTATCTTGTTAATGTATTAATTTTTGGGTGATGCTAAATTCATCACAAAAATTGTTATTCCGGTTGTTTTTCTTAAATGACTATTATAATCTTTTACATCATTAACGGAGAGAGTATTTTAAGTTTAAATGTAATAAACATTAATAAAAAATATATATTAGTCTTTTGAAGAAAATCAAGTTGTGAAAATAACAAAATTATTGGTGAATTTAGGAGTATCTTAATTTTTATTTATTTATTTACACATATGGCAAAGCGAATTCAATTTATGTTTGTTGTTAATGCATGGTAAGTTATAATTAGTTACTATATTTTTTTGTACAAAAGAAATAATAAAAACAAAACTAGTTTTTCAAAAACAAAATAACAATAGAATCAACCTGCAATAAAGTACTCAAGTTAGGAGGAGGAGAGCTCCAAATCTCCATAACAGTTTCTTGGTTTTGCTCCCATTTTTGCAAATATTTGAATACATTGGTTCTCCTTCCTCAAAATATGAGAAATTTTGGACACCAACCCACCCTCGAGAAACTCACTGATAGCATGAATGAGAATTATTCAAGGATAAGTTTCATATTGAGTTCTACATACGAGTTAAAAATTTCATATCGATTAAAAATAAAAAAAAATTTAAGATAATTATATATAAGATGGATTCATGATCCATTAATATAAGTTTTTAGATTAAAGTGATATGTATCTTTGTATATAAATCTTCATAAGACCTATGTACACAAGCAATGACTCCCCAAATAAAGATCTTCCCAGCCCAGAGAATTAGACTCAATCTCTAAAGGAGCATAATGATCATCAACTGCACGTGATATCTTGAATTCTAGTTATTTAATGCTTTACTATCTTGAATGCTCCATGAGAATTGCATCCATTTTACTTGAGAATTAGGAAAAAATTAAATCCTAACTAATGAATAAAATAAAAATAAACTCATCTACTTAATTAATTAGTTGTATTAGTTTTCTTTTTAAGTTTTTATTATTTCTTTTTTACTTTTCGAATAGAAAATAAAAAATGCTGAAATTCAGAAAATAATAGTTATTTTTGACACATAGACCTACTTGAATTGAAGATAACTCTCTTGTAAGCTAGTTTGTAAGAAAATTTAAGAAATTACTTGTTGATCAAGTTCTGTAAGTATAAATATTATAATAAATAAAGGAAATATATCAGCAAGCACTCAAATAGGAAAAAGAAAAAAAAAAACATGAAATAGATGTGCTTCATATGTCTTTTATTTCAGTCGATTTCTACTAACTAGAGTCATTTGACATAGAGATAATTAACACATTAACATATTTATAACAAAAAGTAACAAAAATACTTAGATTGATCAAGTTTTATGAATACAAGCAATTGAATAAATTAATAATAATAACATTCTTACTCAAATGTAAAAAATCATAAAATATGTTTATTTAATATGCCATTATTCCTTTTACTCGAACAATTTCTAGGCTAAATTTCCATGCAGTTCCCATGGTTAGATTACTATAGTAATTTATACGTGTACTTTTTAATTGGGCAAATGATACCTTTTTTCGAATCGATAGTCGTTGATTCTTTACAGAAATTTGGAGTGAAAATATGCTTAGTTTTATGGATAGGCTAAGAACATTTTTATTTTTATCCTTAGGATCCAATCGATATGATTTGAGCTACATTTTTAATGGAATTTTATTTCCATAAGATGATAATATTTAATTAGTAATTCATAATCATTTCGGCGACCGCAGAAAAGCATTTTGCTTGATCTCTGTTTCCTTAGAGTTGAATACCATCAGACCCAAATGAATCAGAGCCATAATTTATAAGCATTTGGAAATTTTTTTTTTTTTTCAAAAAATATTTTTATCCTTAATTATTTAAGGAGGTGCACCAGAAAATCCTGCGTTAAGCAACATAAACGCTGACGAGCAGTTGAAAAGAGTTTCCGTCAGTTGACCGTCAAAAACAAGGCACGTGCTTCTGCTCTTAATCCCTCAATCATCCCACCAATAAAAACGAGAATCGAAAATAATTACTACAAAAAAAATATTATTATTAAACCCCAAAAAACAACGGATGTCAATACATGATCAATTCAAATAAGTGATTTCAACGGAAATGACCTGTTGATTGATCTCTATAAATTCAACCCAACCAATTATTGCAAGTTTCTCTTCGCTTGATGATTGAAAGCAAATAGAGTTGTAATTTAGAAAATGAAAGGCGTCTTCTCGGCGCCCGGAGATTATGTCTACTTCAAGTCTCAAGTTCCTCTCCACAAGATCCCTGTAAATTTCTCTTCTGCCCTCTCTCAATTTACTTTCTTTTATTTTTATTTTTATAAATCTTATGGGTTTTAATTTTTGCTTCGAGTATTCTACTGGGTATGTCTTTGTTTTACCGATGATCTCCTTTTCCCCATTTAATTATCTTTATAAAGTGTTGAAATATAGTTACGCTTTTGTTCTGGGTGTGTTTATCTGCTTTTGATTGAGGTTTTTACTTGTTACTGTACTCTGGTTACTGGGTATTTTTTTTTTTTTGATTCAATGATGAGGTTGTTGATGAGCTTATATGTGTTCCTGTCCTAATATTAGGATTGGTTTGTATGAAAATTTTGAGAAAGGAGTTTTAGACTATTTAACTGCTTCAGGGATTTACTTCTTTATCTCATTTTGATGATCTGTTGGTGAATGTTTTATCAAGTTTTCTAAAGAGCATGGTTTGCTAGTAATAATTCAATCATATGAATGCTGGTTTTATTTTATGCACAGAGTTTGCAATTTGTTGCTACAATTTTGTTGACCCCGGTCATATTTCGCCTGGATTTTTGATGGTTTTCATTTCTTAAAGCACAGAAAAGTGGCTCAATGGTGGATTTTCTTATTGCTTTTTCAGATTATTCTTTTCTTATCATTGGCTCGTAGATGGAACTTCTAGTTCATTTTTTGCAGTTTTGTTTTCCCCTTAGATTGGCACAAAGCAATGGAGATACTATGATTTTGGTCCAAAAGTGGTCCCGCCACTCATTTGTCTTCCTGGAATAGCAGGGACAGCAGATGTTTACTATAAGCAGATCATGGCATTATCCTTGAAGGTAATTTGCTGGATGTGTAGTGTCTGATAGTATATCATTTATACAAGTACTTGGTATGTTTTATTTTTTATTTTTTTCCTTTCCCTTTTCTCCATGCATTTTCTCTTGAAGAATTTGTCAGGGGTTTGGTTTCCCATGTTCACATTCACGTGGGGAAATCCGTAGGCATCTTCTTCCAACACTTGCTCTTGGAGAACAATGTTTTTCCCTGAAGTGTGGATTTTTCATGTTGGATCCAATGCTTGATGAGAATAATAGTTGTCATGACATTTTTGTTTCTTTAATAAAATAGGCAAATCAGCAAAATAGTTATTAAATTTCTTCACTTGGAAAGCTGTACTCTTTGCATGATCAGTATCAATGTACTATGAAGTTTGTATTTGTGCATTTTGAGGAAAGAGATTGTGAATGACCGGCATTCACATTTTTTTCTTTGCAAGCCCTAAAGTTGCTGTACTTGGAGTAGATTCTCTTTTTCCCCATCTTACTGTGGGTGACTAAAACTGGCTTCATTATGGCATCTTTTATACCTTAAAAACTCTTTATGTGAATCTTACCTTTTATAGTTGCAACAGTTGCAAAATTAGATGCTTCTTCCTTAAATTGAATTTTAGCTTGCTAACAATCAAGACCATGTTGACTCATTTTGCACTCTATGGAACACTTGAACTCCTTGTTCCAACTGGCAGAATGTCAACTTAACTCCTTGTGCCAACTCTCTCAGTGTCCACTTGGTACTCCTTGTGCCAACTGTCAGAGTATCTGTGTCATTTGGTAGAATGCGTTACTCCAAAATTATCTTTATGTGCTTGGAAACCATAGATTTTGAAAGTTAAACAGGTGTCATCATATGCACATCTCATAGTGAACAGGAATCACTTCTCTTTACTTAGATTATTTTCCTTTTGGTAGCAAGTAAATCGCCCTTTCTGTTACAACAACTGCTAATTGTTTCAGGTTCATGATTCCAGTGCTGTTGATAGTTGACAGTGTTCATATTAAGGTCATCTAGTATGATTTTTGGCTTTTTTTCAGGGTTACCGGGTGATTTCTGTTGATATTCCACGTGTATGGAATCATCATGAGTGGATCCAAGCATTTGAAAAGTTTTTGGATGTCATTGATGTTCATCATGTAAGAGCCTTCATTTGTACATGGTCTATACTGCTCCTCCTGCATTATTATATACTATTGTTTGTCTGTAATTTTTCAAACTGGTACTTTTGCTTAGAATCTTCCTTTCTGTTTCATATGGCTTAATATTTATATTTGAGATAAATCATGGTACTTCAAATAGTTAGAAGGAACCAACTCCTGGATCATCCTGTGTTTTTCTTAAATTACGTGTTGCCACTTTGCCTAGCTGGTAAGCCTTGTCAGCAGACAATGGATTTGGAATCCATTTTGAAACTGATCTGCTAACATATACGTGATATTTTACATAGCACCAGCCAACCCCATTTTGCTAGGAACATTATAGGGTAACAGCCTTTTTTCTGTATCAGCTCAAGTTTTGGTTGTGTTCAATATGTTCCAAAAGCACTGGAAGTCTGGGCTTTGAGTCACATATCCAATAGGAATATTTTTGGACCATGCATAACTAATTAGATGAATGGCAAACTGTTTGATAGTGTCTGGCTTAGTAGAGCTCACTGTATAAGGAGAAGATCTTGGTAGATTTTACAAAAATCATTTAATGGTAATTGTCGCTTATATCATAACCTCAAAATGGCTTGATTATTAAATCGGGGTTCATGCAACTCATACATTTAGTTCATTTTTTTGGTAGCATTAGTTACTGAGGATTTGTGTGTATGTTGATTATCTTAACAGATACATCTTTATGGTACATCTCTTGGAGGCTTCTTAGCACAACTTTTTGCACAGCACCGTCCAAGGCGAGTGAGGTCTTTGATACTATCAAACACATTTTTGGAGACGCGCAGTTTTGCAGCTGCCATGCCATGGGCTCCTGTGTATGTGGTCATCATGTTGCTTATGCTTATTATAGCATTACCTTTGCCTGTTGTTAAACCACAAAAGCTATTTGCGGTGTTCATATAAAAAAATACTTCTTATTCACACAATATAAATTGAACAAGAAACTATTTGGTCATGACCAGTAAAAGTCATAGCACCAAATCTGGATAAACAAACTAGATGCAATTCTAGTTACATGCTCAAATGATAGGAAAAGTATGGTCTATGAGGGAGTTGATTGATAAGTAGGTGCAATTGGCTAACAAAATCATTAGGAGGCTATGATTTTATTAGTCTCTTAAGTTTCATACTGTGTTTTGTAAATTTGGCAAACACAAAACTGCTAAATTTATTTGTAACTGATCTAAAATGAGGCTCTAGAGCTAGCTTGTTTTTTTGAATGGGGGTATCCACCCCGCTCCCAAGAGAAAACATGAAAAGATGGCACAGTAGTCCTGGAATTGGTGGAATAAGTTTTCTGTTTCTGTTATGAAGGTATATATTTCTATAGCATTGGTTTTTCCATGAGTGGAGATATTTCAGCACCATATGTTATAGCAAATGTCTGTCAAGTTGGAGTTGTTGAGGATGTTTTAACTGATGGTTATAAGGCTAGCTATTGTCCATGCTATCGAATGCATGATGATAAAGAACAAAATATTCGTAAAAGGAGCGTGACAAAAAATGAGGATGAGGATGTTAAGGTTTAGGTGTGCTAATGAAAGAATATCACAAAGATTGAATGCATCCCACTGAAAATGGAGATGGCACCAATTAACAAAAAAAGTTTCAGGAGGACAGGTTAGATTATTGAATCATGTGCATCTTATGTTTTACATAATGATTCAATTAGATAGGAAAAATTAGTGTGAAAATGACTTCGGTTGAAGTAGGAAAAAGAAATAAATTTGGCTCTAAAGTAAGAGAAGAATTTGGTTCCCTAACCTCTCAAGCATGCTATAGAACTCACAGAATACTTATAATAATTGAACTGGTTAAGGATGAAGGTGTAGGCTATGTAAGTTGTTATTGAGGTGTTGTTGATAGCAAGTAGGTGTATTCAACAATGAACTATATGCAGCCAATACTTGACCTGCAAATTGTAATAATACAGGTTTCGTAACTGTTGATGCATCTAACCACCAGCCCCTACTATTGTGAGATTGAAATTTAGTTAAGTTTCTAATGCATCTATCTGGCAATTCATAACTACCAGATGTAGAGTTTTCGATGTTCACTGAAAAGCACTGAATGTTTTCACCTTCCATGATATGTAAAGGTTTTCAGCAACTGTTTTTAAGATTTTAACCTCGATGAATTTTTATTATTTTTGTCCGGTATGTTCTTTGTAGTAATCTGTAAATCCAGTGTTCTTAACAAATTGACTTCCAGAATTGTTGTGTTGTTTATGCAGTGTTAGTTGGACCCCTTCTTTTCTGCTTAAAAGGTACGTACTAACTGGAATTCGTGATGGTCCTCATGAACCATTTATTGCAGATTCCGTGGACTTCGTTGTTTCTCAGGTAAAGTCTCAATTGTCAAGTTACTTTTATGATGGCTTCAAGCAATCTCCTTTATGCATTTTAGAATCATAGTTTTAAATAGCGGTCGCGATTGAAAAAACGGTCACGATCGCTGCTTATTGCAGTACTAAAATAACGGTCATGGCAATCGATATCGTTAGCAACTCGTTAATCAATTTATTCTAATTCACATATTTTTAACAGCTTTACTAATATGATCATACTAATAAGTCATTTTTAATAGTTTAATATCATATCAAAACAGTTGAATTTATTAAAAAAAATTAATAACATTTCTAATAGATTAATATCACACAAAAAAGCAATAAACTAATTATCTAATCTTTTAATTAGGGGTGACCATGTTTGATGTAATATTATTTTATTTTACAAAATGTATTTTTCATCAATTTAAAATAAAAAAGAAAAAAAAATTAGAAATTAACATAAAATAGACAAAAATGACTAAATAATTGGTTTTTGAAACAGTATGAACTAATTAATTTATTTTTCCAAACTAAAGGGATGAATTTATATTTTACTTAAAGCCTGTGTTCCAGTGGGTCTTTGAATTTTGTGCACGCAACCTGGAATTTGGTTGAAAAATAGGGATTAAATTACACATTAGTCCATTTAGTTTTGATAAATAAATTAATTAGTTTTTTTTTTCAAAAATTAGTTATTTAATTTTTTTGATGAGTGTTGACCATATTTAATGTAATATTATTTTATTTCACAAAATATTTTTTTCATCAATCTTTTCATGATATAATTTTTTTTTCAAAAAAAAAGCAAAACAAATTAGAAAATAACATAAAATAGATTGAATAATTGATTTTTAAAACAAGAAGGACTAACTTATTTTTTTTCCTAACTAAAGAGACTGATTTATAATTTATTCAATTAAAGATGCATTCTCTTGCTTTTGCTTGTGAATATCATGTGGTTATATCTCTGCTCTTCTTTCTTCATCTGTCTCTCTTTGCTCCTCTTTAACTCACATCCTCCTTTCTTCCTTTCAGATTCTCAACCAAGCTTTCCTTTCTTCATCCTCCTTTCTCTCTCTGATTCTCAACTAGACTTTCCTTTCTTCATCTTTCTCTCTCCGATTCTCAACCAAGATTTCTTGCAAGTCTTGTTTGTTCTTTTTTTTTTCCTTGTTTTATTTTTCCATTTTTTGCATTGGTGATTAATTAGTGCAGAATTTTGAGTTTTTTTTTTAATGTATAACGCTGTAATATATGTGAATCGATGCTAGAGTGCCCATGATGCTGAATAACTATAACGGGATGCTCCGTTACTGTTATATAACAAACATTATTTAAAACTATGTTTAGAATCATTAATTTTTCCCGAATACGATAGGGTGGCTTGTGAGATTATTGATATGTCCAATTGTTCTTTATCATGTTGTTATATCCTCAATTAACTTCTCAAGATTGGGAACTGTGACTAGAGATTGCAATCAGTTTGTATTTCTGGTCTTGGATACTCAGCACCCATATAGGTTTTGGACTTATTATTTGCCGAATGCCCTTTTAGTGGGTTGATGCTCTAACTATTTATGCAAGGCAACAACAATATTTGTACAGTTGTACACATATCTTAAGTTGAAGTCTTGTTTGGGAGGTAAACTGATGCAGGTTTGACCTCAGTTTCCTTTGAAATAGGGAAAAAAATTTGCTCTGCAACAGAAGTATTTTTGTCGAAAACATCTATAAGAAGGATTTACTATGCTGTAACATAGTCAGTACAGTTGAACTCACTTTTCAACTTGAACCAAATTGGTTTATCTTTTATTTTGGCTGTTATTGCCACTTCTATCTTATGTTTAAAACAGTACAATGGTGTAGTATGGCCTTTTTTGTGTTTTTTATGAATGCTGATATTATGGCTGAATGAGGGTTCTTTTTTCCTTTCCAACCAAAAAAAAAAAAAAAAGAAAAAGAAAAGAAAGGGCTGAATGTTGTCATCATGTTTATTATTGTTTTCGTTTTCTATCTTTATTAACTTCTTTTTTTTTTTTGTTTTTTTAATTTCTATAACTAGTTTTATTGTTTTAAAGATAACTAAGAAGATTGAGCCCTCTTGGTTCATAATGCCAATTTTTATTTTGTACAGTTGTACACATTTCTTAAGTTGATGTCTTGTTTGGGAGGTACACGGATGTAGGTTGACCTCAGTTTCCTTTGGAACAGGGGGAAAACTTTACTTTGCAACAGAAGTATCTTTGTTCAAAACATCTATTAGTTGGATTTACTAAGCTGTAGCATATTTAGTACAGTTGTGCACACGCCTCAACTTGAACCAAATTGATTTATCTTTTCTCGTGGCTATTATTGCTACTTCTATCTTCTGTTTAAAGCAATACTCTGGTGTAGTGATGGCCCTTTGTATTGTTTATGAATGCTGGCTGAAAGAAGGTTCTTTTTTCCTTTCAAAGAAAAAGGGCAGAATGTTGTCATCATGTTTATTATTGTTCTCTCGTTTTATCTTTATTTTCTTCTTCTTTTTAATTTCTATGACAAGTTTTATTGTTTCATAGATAACTAAAGAAAATGGGCCCTCTTGGTTCACAATGGCCTTTTTCCTTTTTGATAACTGAGGAACCTGTCTAGACCTCAACCACCTTTTGTGGGCACATCCTGAACCTTCAACCGTCTTATCCACATCTGCCAATTTAAATGCAAAAACATGGTCTACATTGAACAACCTGGTTAATCTCTGTTGGTTTTGTGAAATGTAATTTTCAATTCAGGTTGAAACACTCTCTAGAGATGACTTGGCCTCAAGGTTGACTTTGAATGTTGATGCTGCTTCTGTTGGACCTCTTGTACTTTCAGATTCATTCATCACTATATTGGATGTAAGTTCACCAGAAAACTGTTTCTATATGTTTGTATTCCAATTCTCTTTCAGGACCCATCAGCAACAACATGAGTTTTCAATTGTCACCCCTGTTCTTATTGATGCTTTCATTGAGTGGATAAGATGCTCTTCCAATGCACTTGGAGATCCTTGTGTATTATTCAAGATCTAATTTTAAGACAAATAATGTTTTCTCCCTCAGTAATGAATATTTTATGATCAGAGTTTCTAAGACACCGAGAAACCACGTTGCATAATGCCATTTTTTCAAATTCATTTTTTTCTTTTATTTTTTGCTTCTTGCTTCTGCACACTGCAAATGCTTGAATTTTGAATGGTTCTTGGTATTGTAATTCAGTATTCTTAGTGTAAGAAATTCAATTAATTTAATGCCATAAGATGGAAATTGGGGGGGGGGGGGGGGGGGGAGGGGGGGGATAGTAATATCTGTTGGTTTTTTGACACGTTACCATTTCCTCCTGAAGACGAATGATTATTGCGCAATTCCTCAACAACTCAAAGATCAATTGATTGAGAGATATCCTGAAGCAAGGCGAGCTCACTTGAAGACTGGAGGGGATTTTCCATTTCTTTCACGCCCAGATGAAGTCAACTTGCATCTTCAGGTTAACAAATATCTATATTTGCTCATAAGCAATTTTATGCTGTTTATTGCTCTTGCCTGCTGGCAATGCACTGTATTTATTGATTGGCTATCTGCAACATGCAGCTACACCTGCGACGGGTTGGGGTAGAAGCTCGGCTGGATTTGGTCCGGGGCATCCCAAAGGATGGCCCTGGTGGGAGCCATAGTGAAAACGAGGATGGTAAAGAAGATCGAGATGATCAACCCAAAGACGACAGAGGAAGTTCAGAAAGTCCATCTAGGGAAAATGAGTTATCTCCAGCTCCAGAAAGTTCAGAGTCTCGTAGTTTAGATGAGCAGCTCCTCAAGAATGCAAAATTTTCATTCATGGGTCAGGAACAGAGACTGCGTTTCTGTGAACTATTGAGTAAACAACATATCATAGCCTCTGAACTCCTTTCACGATTTACTTCAGAAATTTTTCTTCAATGTTTGTTTCCCTCTCGTGTGGGATCCTTGTACATTATTTCCAAGTTGTTTCCAGAAACTCTGATAATTGGTGTAAAGTAGATATTTGCAGTTGGTTGTTCACTTGGTTGTATAAGATCATACAAACAATGCAAACTGTCATTGCCCGGAGGTTACTAGCGTTTTGCTCAAGAACAGTTTTGACATTTTGTGAAATTGCGATTCCAGATTTCTTTTCATAATTAAAATGGTCGATTGAATTCTGAGCATAAAGGATTTTTGAAACTAGCTTGCCACCAGTTGGTCATGAGTTTGGGTTGCACTGCAACCAGAGGCCCTAGTACTGTTCAGGCATAAATGCGATGCGAGGGAGGGTTAGTGGTTGCAGGGTATGTTTACTCTTTTTAATTTTTGGTCTTGATTGTGTCTCCTTATTTATTTATTTATTATTATTGTTTTAACTCTCTCAACATTTATTTTTTTTCTCAAATTTGTTTTTTCTGTTAATGTATGGACTAATAGTGTTACATACTTAAACTTATAGAATTGCAACACATGTTAATTTTTTTTGTTTTTTTAAGTTTTAATCTCGGTCTCTTTACTTTTTATTTATTTATTTATTTAAAATATCCTTTATAAGTCTAAATTTATGTATATGATTATAAGTGAAGTTTGAGTATAGAATAAAATATTTATAATATTTTTAAAAACAAATGCGATACAATTAAAAATTTAGAAACATATAAAATATTTGAAGTATAATATTATATTTACCTAAAAAATAATAGAAGGGATGAGATTGAGACAGAAAAAACAAAATTGATATTAGTCGAAATCATGTGAGCTAATGGAGAGACAAATATAAAATAGAAACTGGATGAATTAAAAAAATAAAAAAAGTAAAAAGACTGTTGCAGTTATTATATTGTAAAAAAAAAAAAACATAAATTTACTATTCATTGCACTATTCCAAAAGTTATTCATTCAAATTCATATGAATTATTCACTCATACTTAGATGTATTATTTCTTTTACTATACAATGATATTTTTATAGTTTTTAAACATTTTTAAGACATTTATTATGAAAGTTTTCGTGATACTACAATTTGTTCCTTTTTTAAATATTATTTTTTGTAGTTTGTAAATATTTTTTATTTGATTCTCGCTCGTTTTTTTTTTTTTAAATTTCATTTTGGTCACTTTGATCCTTATTTTTTTCATTTGATTTTTTTAATTATAAATTATGAGACAAAAAAATGTTTAGAAAAAAATAATAAAAAAAAATTAGCTAAAAATATGGATGGAAATAAATAAATAATGTTTTTTTAATAAAAAAATTTATGAAAATATAAAGAATAATTAGTCAAATACAAAATTTTGATTAAAAATGATAAAATTGAATGAATTTTTATTCAGTTTCGATTTGATATATTTTGATAGACGCATAATACAATATAGGATATTAAAATAAAATATTTTTTTAAAATAATTTGATGAATTTTGTACGCTGCAGGTTAAAAAAAAAAAAAAAAGTAGTTAATCCTACAAGAAATGGACTGATCTGGTTCAATTGAAATTTATTGTGCGTGGGCTTGTGCGTTCTAACTCAAGACCTTATAGGAAAAGAAAGAATATTACTGATAAGTGGGATATAATTCATTGATTGTTCGATATACTCGAATTCACTCAAAATTTTTTGAAGATTATAATACCGAATATTTAAAAACATAAGCTTATTGAAATACCTATCATGAAAATTTTCAAATAAAGATACGTTGAATCCTGAAAGATTTGGAGACACACACACATATATCATTTGGAAAGAGATTGAGACTGTATCATTTCCGTTTTCTAATTTTGATTTCTTGCAAACCAGATTTGAAAATAAAAACAGAAAATTGGGTGTTTTTCTTTATTATTTTCAAATAAATCAAATTTTAGTTTGAATTTCTGACGTATAGATATCTTAATCTGTTTGCATAAATTTAAAAATAATATAAAATATAATAATAAATTGAAAATGACAATATTTATAAGAATAAATTAGAAACTAAATCTTGCAAGGATGGTGCCAGCAGAAATAACAGCAGAATTCGTTTTCTTGGCAACAGAAGGACTAAATTTCAATGGATTAATTGCATGAAACATTTTTCTAATGTGGTTTTGTATTTTTATTTATTTATTTATTTATTTTTATTATGACCCTTTTAAATATTATTCAATTAATTTATTTTATCAAAATTGACGGTAAATATAAAAATTTCACATGATATGACGTAACAGTTATCATGTTAATCTAATATATATATATAATTCTCTCTCTCTCTCCATCTACCTCGATCAAAACCAGCAGCTAACCCTTTCTTCCTTTTTATCTTCTTATTCGATTTTCCATACCCCCCTAGAATGTCTAAATTCTTAACTCTTTCACTCTTTACTTTTCTTGCTTGCATTTTTCCTCTCTGTATCCACTACCACACATGCAAGCTTGAAGGTACCTGTAAATCAATTGTGGGCTCTTTGAAGACTACTCTGATATAATCCGAGATGTGACCTCTATAATCACAATTTTTGGCTTTTTTTTTTTTTTTTTGGGGGGGGGGGGGGGGGGGGGTGATCGTCGCCTTACCAATGCCATTTCCTATTGCCTTGACTTACTCGACTTCTCTGTTAATGAGTTGAGCTAGACCATGTCTGCTTCTCAGAATGCTAAGGATAAGCTACCACATCTCTTCTCTGCATTCAATCTTGATTTTTTATTTTTTATTTATTTTTTTAATTTTATTGTATCATATAATGCTAAGAGAGTGATGAGGCTGCAATTCTATTTAGTATCCATCAAATCTCTCTTTTGCCATGTAAGATACAGGGGACCTCATCTTTAGTATGTACTACAAATTCTTCATTCTCTTCTGTTATTTGGTTTAATGCTCGTTTTCATTATATTTGCAGGTACACATAACAGCACTGGTGATTTCAGTTCTGATTTAAGAACATGGTTGAGTGCTGCACTTTTTAACCAGCGCACATGCATTGGAAGAAAATTTGAGAGGAGATCGAGTAGATTCTTAATTTTTATGATTTTTTTTAATTTATTTTTTCCGGATGACAAATTAATCATACGTAGCATGACATATATATATATATATATATATATATATATATATATGTTATGTTTCAGTTTCAATCAAAAAATTGATTAAAAAACAACTGGACATTAGAAAAATTTAAAAATAAAAAAAGATGATAAATAAAAAAATAAAAAAAGATCTTTATCCGATTAACTCAAATTTCAATGACCAGCAACTTGACTCTTGTGGATGATTCATTAAGCCACTAATCACAGGCTTGAGCTTGTGCTTCCAACTTTTGATAAGCGGATAATTGACAAGTTGCAATTTGCAGAACAATAATTGAGCCCATTGAGTTTGCAACAAGATGACACATTCTTGAGGCAATAGGCTTTTAATTGTATCGATTGAAAAATACCTTTATTAAGGCGAAAATTTTCATCCATGGGCCAGGATCAGAGACTGCGTCTTTGTGAATTATTGAGTAAACAGCAGATTGTGGAAATCTTTTCTTTCTTCAACGTTTGCTTTCCTCTCATGTGGGATCACCGTACAAAGTTTCCAAGTTGCATACGGAAACTCTTGATATTTGCAAATGGCTGTTCTCACGTGGTTGTGCAAGTTCATGTATACAAGCAATGCAAATTGTTATTGCCCGATGCTGCTTGTAGGTCTAGTTGCTTACAGTTACAGCCTAGAGGGCAATTGTAAATTTCTTTCAAACGTTTTATGGTCATATTTGGAAGGGAAAAAAAGTTGGTTAAATTCTCGAGTTTCACTGTGAAAATGTAAAATAGAAAGGATCTGCGAAAGGAACTCCTAGACATGAGCACGATGGGGAATAGAGGACCACAATGGAAACCATTTCAGCAGGGCTTACATTTGGGCCTCTATCCCCCCTCTAGAGTCCATTTGAGAGTACATCTCTTCATCACAGAAATTCGTCGGAACCATGCAGCCATCAAGTTATCATGCTTTCATCACACGTTTACATTGTTTTTAATTTGGTAAGGATATTCTTTAATGATGAATGTTTACTTGATTTCAATAGAGTAATTTCAACCTGGAATGAGGCTCAACCATGGCATTTTAGATGACTACCAAAAACACGTTGCCTTTAGATGAAGGGAAACTACAAAAACATCAGTCTTGAAATAATGTGCATAAAGAACCACCACCAGCACAAAGAAAAAACAAAGATCAAGTAAAACATAGAAATAATCCTATTGTAAAGGAAATTTCAGATTACAGCCAAAATTTATAATTAGAACCATTCATTGTCGATCCAACTAAACCTAGCATCCAACTAAACTTAGCCTTAGCCTAGTAAAAGAAACCCAGCACTTTGCCACCAACATTCTTTCTTCTGGCCTCTTCGTGGTCCATAATGCCAGCAGAAGTTGTCAAGACAATATATCCGAACTGGAAAATTCAGCCAACAATGTATGGATCATACAAAATGCAATGGATATTCCATCATGAGGAAATACTTAGGTAACCCAATATTTCTTAACAAGAGAGAAAATTTCATGAAAACGGATGCCATTAAAACACCCTTAAGAAAATTTAAGTTGGTATAAACTTATAAAGTTGAAAGGAGATTGTTTAGTGATGGACAGGAGACGCTAAACAACTTCATTCTGAACATCCATTCATAAGCTTATAATATCTTCCTATTCACATTTCACAGAATTTTAAAAATTGAATTTGAACTGAATAGAAAGTTTGGAACTGACCTGTCTTGAAGGAAGCAACCTTGCAGTCCAAGTTTCAATCTCCTTGACACCCACATCAAAACGAGGACTGATAACCCCACATTTGTTCAGTCTTCCATTCAATTCGACCACAATTTTCCCAGCCCTGTGATCATCTACAAACTCAAACTCACCGATATATCCTGCAGTAAAACCAGCGAAACTATGAACTATGATTTGAAGTAATCAAGCAATTACAGTCAGAATGCTGGTTAAAATGGCATCATACCGTGCTTCTGCATCACCAAAAGAAACTTGATGATCACCTTTGAGGAAGGCCTGATCATGACCTGACGCTTCCCAAGTTTCTCTGCATTGTACATGCTCTTCAGAGCATCATTCAACACACTAACTCGCACCATTGTTGCTGCTACACATGTATGTTAAGAAAAAGATGTCTAAGAAAATACAAATAAACATTCTAAAACCAAAATGGATACACAGCCTTTGGTTTTTCACTCTTTAGATAATGTTGTTCAATAAAGGGCAGAAAATGAACAAAGTTACATCATAAAGTCCTAGTCTTTCATGATATATCCGGTTCATCAGCCAACCTCTATCAGCTAATCTAAACAACTAATGAACTATAAACCAACAAAATCAATTTAAAGAACAAACTGATCTTAGCCAGGGCAACAGAAGCATAGTAAACCCATTAAAGAAACAAAAATTTGAAACCCCATTCGGTTTCAAATTAAAAAACATTACGCAGCTATATAAAAAACATTTAAAATCAAGCTTCATAACCCTTCTCTCAATGCTTTCATCTTTTTTTCTTTCTTTCTTTTTCTTTTTAAAGCAGCCAAACAGAACTTAAATCACGATACCCAAACCTAAAGCCCCAAACTTTGAAGCAAGGAAACATGCACGAGCTTATAAGAATCAATAGCCAAGCTTAATTCTTTTGAGCTGAAATGAGAACGAGAAATTAAAAAACAAAAAAAAAAAAAATGATAGCTTTCTTAGAAACAGACATTCGATTTTTTACGAGACAGATCGAAACGAGCAGGGATGAATGAAATTCAAAATCAGAAGAGAAAATAAAAATAGAAGTACTACCGTAAACAAATGCAGAGAGCCGTATGCAAATGCACCTTCCTAGTTAGGGTTTTAAAGTTTTAGTAGAGCTGCGATTTTTCTTCTTCTTCTTGATTTTTTTCCCTTTCCTAAGCGGGACTAAAAGCCCAAAATAAAAAGAAACCAGAGAGCACAAAGTCTCTCTTAACCCATTTCTAAAAGATCATCACCCATGAGTTTTGACCTAATGTGAGGCACTTTTAGATCAATTTTTCAAATTAAGATATTTTTAAACTTAATTCTCAAAAAATGGTATTTTATGTTACATGGAATCTACGTCGTATATGATTTTTTTTATTTAAATTATTAGCAAAAAGAAAAGAAAAGAAAAAAAGAAAAAGAAAAGAAGAATACAAGAACGAGAAAGAACCCACTCGATAGTCTCCGCTTCTACCTTTTCAGGTTAAACAAGACAATAGTAGGGCTCAGGTAAAGTAAAAAAAAAAAAAAAAAAATGCAGCCATAGAACTTATGAAATAGCTAGAGTTTCAAGCTGATCAGCTCATAAATTTTATTACTGGCAATGAAACTTTGATTGAATTCATTCTCTGCTAATTTTCTAGTTAAATGTTCTATTAATCTTTTTCCTTTCTTAGTTTTATTGATCCGGATGAATAAATGCATTTTAGATCTTGTATATATGCTAAATTTGTTTATAAAAAATTAATTAATAATTTAATTAATTTTATTATGTATAATTTTTTTTTAAAAAATCCAAATTACATAACAAATAGATTAAACTAAAGATAAGATTCATGTAGCACAAGGCTTTTTGAACTGCACAAGGAAGAACATGACATTCATGCAAGTACAAGTTCGAAGATCTAGATCGATTGCTTTCATTCAATTTATATTTTTAATCATTGCGTTTCTAATTATGCGCTATGTTTTTGTATTTATTTAAAGGATTGCTTTGATAATTGTTCATGTCATTTGACTAGTGTTTACTCTTGTGATTAAACAAAAAGTCTTGTCCTTTCATGCCCTTTAGATATTGCCCTTAAGTGTTCATATTTTTTGCGACACATAATAAAAAATATAACCCTAAAATAATTAAGGTAGTCCTTTGTTATCATTGTTCATAGTTTATCACGAAGGATCCTACAACAACCTTCATAAAGATGGCCTTATTGTCGATTAAGCCTAAGTAAAAATCTTATCATGTTATAATTTGTTAGTTCAATACATTAACACATTTTATGAATAACATTAACCATAAAATCGCGCATAAACATCAAATCGTTAAGGCACCTCTCGACATCGTGAGCCCCTTGTGACACCAAGCAAGCAACTATAATAACCATTGTCCAAATATCCAGGGAACAATATGACGAGTGTTTTGCTATCGACAATCCAAGGAAAGATGACAAAAAACATAATGATAACATGTTCTTCATTTATACTAATTATTGTATGGAGAAAACAAACCATAACTATCCACTCTATATGGAGAGTAAGGTGAATAATTTCTCCATCCATATGACCCTCATTAATAGTGATTTTTTCTTAAGTCTCATGCCACTCTCCATATTGAAAGCTTTATGCATTGATGAAAGATCCGTGAATTGGACACCAACTATTCTTACATCCTTTGACAACACTTTGTTTCGAACTCAAGGCCATATGGTGGATTTTTAAAGGAGATTTATATGACACGTAAAGTGCTTCTATATCATTAATGCTCATGAGTGCTACCATTAATTGATTATAAGAATGTTCCTTTATGGGTATGATTTAATTCTCTCAATCAAGAATTAGTTGTAAAAGAGGATTAAAGAGGGATGGACATATCTATTCTTAACATCAAGGTACCTTTTGAGCGACATGAGGCTCATTTTGTTAAGGCATTGTTTTTCGACGAGTATATAACTAATTGTGAGCTTAGAGTCGGCAAATTCAATGATAGTTCTATTAAGCTAGTGATTACTAAGACTAATTACAAGAATAAGAGCACTCATAGAGGTTGTAAAAGAAGAAGAAGGAATGGTTATAATAATGCTTATGCTTGGATGATTGAATCCACAAACCGATGTTATCACTATACTCTTCAATTTTCAATATATCAATTAATATCATATTTTATAAGTTTATGGTCAATCCTTGTAATCCTTTAAGTGTTTTATGTTAATAGAATAAACAAGTCTTATAAAAATTTATTTTTTATAATATTTCTATCATCTTGTGGCTTAAAAAAATCTATCTAATTGACACCTCTATAAATGGATATAGAGGAAAATTAGACTCATACTCTTAAATTTTCTAAGAGACATGCGGTTGTCACAAAAAAAAAAAAAGCCGTGAAACTTTTTGCAAAGTCATTTAGTCAACCAATTTATGTATTAGCCAATATATGAGTTTTTTATGCTCAATGTTTCTTTCTAATGACAACACCATATCCATCTATCCAATCTATACATCGGCCGGACCATGAATTTTTCATGCTTATCCTTTTTTTTTTTTTTTTAATGACAACAACATGTTCATTTGGCCAAACTATATATTGGCTAGGTCGTGAACATTTCATACTCGGCTTTTATTTTTTATTTTTTATTTATGACAATGCCATATCGATCTATTCAAGTTATAAGTTGTTTAAGCCATGAGTTTTCATTCTCGGTTCTTCTTTCTTATGATAATACCATGTCTATTTGAACAAGCTATGCATTAGTCGAGTCATGACATTTTCACATTAGTTTTTCTTTCGATGACAATGTCGTGTCTACTCGGCCAAACTACATGATGACTAGATCGTGAGCATTTTATGTTTAGTTTTTCTTTCTAATGAAAATGCCCTTTCCATTTGACCAAGTTACGTGTTGACTAGGTCATGAGCTTTTCATGCTCGGTTTTTATTTATTTATTTTGCCATATCCATCTAACCAACATATGTTCCAACCAAGTTGTGAGCTTTTAATGCTTACTCTTTCTTTGTTATAAAAATATTGTGTTCATTTGGTCAAGTCGTGCATTGGCTAAGTTGTGAGTATTTCATGCTCGGTTAGTTTATCTAATAACAATGTCATGTCCATCTAGTTAAGTTATATATTAGTCAAGCTGTGAGCTTTTCATGCTTAATTTTTCTTTCTTATGATTGTGGCAATGTCATGTCTATTTGGTCAAACTACATGTTGGTTATGTTATGAATTTTTCATGCTTAGTGTTTTTTCCCCCTAATAGCAATGCCATATCTATTTGGCCAAATTACATCCTCGGCTAGGCCATTAGCATTTTATAATCGTTTTTACTTTTAATGTCAATATCATGTTTATATGGTCAATCTACATTCTTGCCGAGTCATGAGTTTTTCAAGCTTAGTTATAAATATATGTATACATATACATATACATATATCTATACATATGTATATACATATATATATACACATATGCATGTCCATCTAACCTATGTGCTAGTTAGGGCGTGATCATTTTATGTTTATTTTTTTTAATATGAAAATGTTATGTCTATTTGGTCAAACTATATATTGGACGAGCCATAAGCTTTTCATGCTTCATTATTATTTCTCATGACCATGTTGTATCGACCGACCAAGCTACGTGCTAGTTAGACTACGAGCTTTTCATGCCGGATACTTTTATATATATATATATATATATATATATATATATAATTGGTCACCTATGGCCACACCTTGTCCGTTTGGAAAAGCTGCTCAATTGCTAGATTACAAGCTTTTTCATGCTCAATTATTTTTCCGTAATTAGTGATTGTCCATGGTCACTCTATGTAACATCTCTAACTTAGGACCTAAATAGGTCGAGAATATTACTAGCGTTGCCTTACATTCCAAGTGTAATGAATATAAAACATCAAGCCTCCTCCTTTGACTATTAAATTTTTATCCGTAAGGTTCTTTTTAATTAATAATATTAGGTCCAATCTAACCTAGTGTAAAATTTTTCCTAAATTAATTCAACATCAATTAAAAATCCTATCACATGCATATAAATATTAAATCTTGAATTTGGGTCAAAAACTCATATTTCAAAATCCAATTTAATTATTTTAATAAAATACCTTAAATAAAATTAAATTGACCTATGTGTTTTATTTTTTTCAAATTCCTTATAAAAAATTGGATTTTATTTTAAAAAATTCTATTTAAATTAAAACTAGTCAAATTAATTCAATGGAAGTAAAATTCTTGATATTCCTACTCAAAACCGATTTGATAAAAATTCATTTATCAACAATAGTCATGATATATAATAAACCATTAAAACTTAGTTTATTTCTTTAAGTAAAAAGTCCTTAAATTAAAAAT